ATGTCCCAAAGCATTTTTGGAGTGATGCTGTTCTTACATCCTGTTTTCTGATAAATCGGATGCCCATGTCAATCCTTGGAAGTCAATCCCCTTTCTCCGTGTTGTTTCCCACTTTGTCTCCATTTCCTTTCACCCCAAAAGTCTTTGGCTGTGTTTGTTTTGTTCAACACTTAGGGCCTGGAGTAGACAAGCTAGATGCTCGAGCTACGAAGTGTATTTTTCTTGGCTACTCGAGGACTCAGAAAGGGTATAAGTGTTTCTCATAAATCGTTTGTGTGCTCTGATGTCACCTTCTTYGAATCAGTTCCATTTTTCTCAAATGCCGGGGTCTCTTCTTCTCCCTTTGTGGTTCCTGTTCCTGTACCAGTTGTGGACACTCTTCCCGTAGCTCCCGTTCCTACTGCAGATGCACATCTTATGCCTGTTACTATAGAGAGGCCGCCAATTACTCAAGTGTATACCCGCAGAAGTGCTTCGGCCCCTCCTCCACTTCAGCACCTGTCAACAGATCCTGCTACTGCTCCTTCTCCCTCAGATCTTGATCTCCCTATTGCTCTGCGGAAAGGTAAACGTACTTGTACTTCTCATCCCATTTCAGACTATGTTTCCACTGCTCACCTTTCTACTTCTCATTGCAAGTTTATATCATTACTCTCATATGTTCCCATTCCCAAGATTGTACAGGAAGCCCTTACCTCCCTAAGGTGGCGGCAAACCATGGAAGAAGAACTCTCTGCTCTACAACATAATCACACGTGGGAACTCACCACTCTTCCTCCTGGTAAGCACACTGTTGGGTGCAAATGGGTCTATATAGTGAAGTATCTTCCTGATGGCAGTGTGGAACGATTGAAGGCAAGGTTAGTGGCCAAGGGTTATTCTCAGTTATATGGTGTGGACTATATTGGAGACATTCTCTCCTGTGGCTAAAATTGGTTCAGTTCGGGTGTTGATTTCATTAGCTGCTATGTATATTGGCCTCTCGTACAACTTGACATAAAAAATGCCTTTCTACATGGTGATCTTGTTGAGGAGGTGTATATGGAGCAACCACTAGGGTTTGTTGCTCAGGGGGAGGCTGGTAAGATGTGTAGGCTCAAAAAGGCAATCTATGGACTAAAACAATCTCCACGTGCATGGTTTGGCAGGTTCAATGAAGTGGTGAAGGCCTTTGGGATGAAACAGTGTCAGGTTGATCATTCTTTGTTCAGGTATAACTCAAAGGATGGGAAAATCTTGCTAGTCGTGTAGGTGGATGATATTGTCATAACTGGAAATGACAACAATGGAATTGACAGGCTGAAGAAATTCTTACAGGACCACTTCAATACGAAAGATCTGGGGAAGCTGAAGTATTTCCTAGGAATAGAGGTTGCGAGGTCAAAACAGGGGATCAACCTATGTCAGAGAAAATATGTTCTTGATCTACTTGAAC